TTTTTTGTAATCTTTGCTTCCTCCCCGTTCTTTATACTTCTACTACAACTGTGTCAGGGCTAGCTCTGTTAGTGAGAGCAAATCGAGGTTGGATGAGCCTTAATCCTCAGCAACCCAGTAATTAACACAGCTCTTTGGATCTCGGCTTTATACTTATGCAGCTTCCCAGCCTTGTTTTTAAGCTTGTAAGTTCGTTCGTCATTATACCGCTGGACAAAGCCCTAGGCTGGCGGCGTCTTTCTCGTATATATTTCATATTTGTATTTGTAACAATAACTTAATGTGAAAGTTCAGTAAAAATAACGTCCAATTGTCTTCTCTACTCGCAATTTTTCGTATATTCGTTGATGATCTTCACAATTTGTTGTGATCATGATGTACTTTCCATTCTTACTCCATCGTTCAGACGAATTTGGCTCATCTTTCCAGGTGGCGACTCGCAAAGCTTCGTCCACCAGTCTCGACTGGGACATGTGCCAACTCGACGCAAAGCTCTTGCGATAGGCAGTCTAGAGGTTTAAGCCGTTCAGACAGGCTTATGCCGGTTGTGCTCGATCTAAGCTTTTCGATCCGGTATGTTTGAGCTCATTCCTGAATTAACTCTCCTCCAAAGAGGACAATCTACTGAGCAGTCTGAAGCGGGAACGAAACTCAACAACAATGGTGAAGCTCTTCTTAGCAGCGGTTGCTACAGCAAGTCTCTCACTGCACCAAAGTTCGGCGGCAAGAACGGTTGCGGAGGACAAAGACTCTTACGCAAGAGCTCAAGCCATCGTTAGTGAGCTCTCGTTAGATCAAGTGATCGGTCAAATGACGCAACTTGATATCAATACTATCATGACCAGTAATAGAACCCTTGACGAGGATCGTTGTCGGGCGAACGCCAAGCAATTTGTTGGCTCTTATCTCAACACGGCGTGGGGTGGACCGCTCAATGACAAGTACGGTTGGACTGCCGCCGAATTTCGTGCTGTCATTACACGAATCCAGGAGATCAATATGGAGGAAAATGGCGGCCATCCGATCATCTACGGCATTGACTCGGTTCACGGAGCGAACTATGTTGACGATGCAATCCTTTTTCCGCAAATGATTAACTCTGGTGCAAGTTTCAATCCCGATCTGGTGCATGAAGTGGGTCGTTTCACCGCTCTTGAAACTATGTCGGCTGGTATTCCATGGATGTTTGGACCGATTTTAGATGTCGGCCAGAACCCACTCTGGGGTCGCCTTTTTGAGACTTTCGGGGAAGACCCGTACTTGGCTTCCGTGATGGCTGAAGCTATTGTAACTGGTCTTCAAAGTTACAACCAGAGTGCTGCTTGTTTAAAGCACTTCATTGGTTATTCCAAAACTCCTCATGGAAAAGACCGTGACAACGTCATCATTTCGGACTTCGACCTCCTCAATTACTTGGTCCCTCCGTTTAAAGCTGCAATTGAAGCCGGCGCGTTGACAGTTATGCAATCATACAGCTCAATTAACGGTCAGCCAGTAATTTCTAGCTCTCGCATTTTAAAAGACCTCTTGCGTTCAGATCTCGGTTTTGATGGCCTTTTGGTCTCCGATTGGTCTGAAGTAACCAACCTTGCCGATTGGCACCGTGCAGTAAAGACCCACGAAGAATCTGTGGCCTTGACTCTATCAAGAACGTCATTGGACATGAGCATGGTGCCGAATGACTTGAACTTTATTAATCAGACACGGATGTTCGTCGAGAAGTTTCCACAGTACGAAGATCGTCTCCGTCTGTCTGCAACTCGAATTATCGCGACGAAGATCAAGCTTGGACTCTATGGCAACCCAGTACCAGGCGCGGAGTATGTTGATTCGGTCGGTAGTGACGATGCAAAGAACGTTGCAATTGAAATGTCCCGAGAATCCATCGTATTGCTGAAGAACGAGAATAATATTCTACCTCTTCCCAAAAAAGCCTCGGTCTTTCTAACAGGACACTCGGCTGACAACATTGGCTATCAATGCGGCGGATGGACTAAGGCGTGGCAAGGGTACTCGGGCAATGTGATGTTCCCGCACGGTGTCTCTCTGCGTCAAGGATTCGAAACTTTAGTTGGCAATGATTCGTTCCAATACTTTAACGGACTATCTGTTAACGGCACGATCTCAGACGAGGATATGGCAACCGCTGTCAGTTACGCCAGTGGGCACGAGTACACTGTCGTTGCAATTGGTGAGCTGACCTACACTGAAAAGCCTGGCGACATTGACGACCTTACGCTTCCGGCCGGACAGATTCAGTATGTTGAGGCTCTTGCCAG